GCACTTTTGATCAAACAGTCATTGATTGAGTGTCCAAATTGTTATCTATTTTATTATTGATTTATTATTTAAGTGTTAATTACCCCTGGAAAAGAGAGATGCCATTCAACAAACAACCTTGTTCCTATTTACTGCTTATTAAACAGAGGTGTATGGAGCAAGAAAATTGTCTGAAGTTTCGCTGTGCCCTGATTCAAAAGCCAGATAACTCTTGCTTCTGAGGCGAATGCTCTCACCAATACGTTACAGTCTCCACATTAGACAAACTTGCTGCTCAACAATATGTTCTTTTAAATCACAGGAAACAGCCTGCAAGATATTGGGAATCAACCGATTGCTGAAATAACAGTTGAAGAGGGAAAAGATGTGAAATTATCCTGCGCCTTACAGAAAATCAGTGATACCTCCTATCTCTATTGGTATAGACAAGTTTCCAGGAACGCTCCTGTCTACATTCTTCTGTCTGTTGCAGGGAAGGATAATAAGAGCCCTGACTTCCAACAACGATTTTCCTCCAAAGTCGATAAAACGAACGAAGATTTCAAACTGAGTATTGCCACCGTCCTGATCGGGGACAGTGCCGTGTATTACTGCGCCAACGAGCCCACACTGCTTCCGTGGTGTGGCGACTCCGTATAAAAACTGCAACCGGTTCATTTGCTGCTGAACCGCGAGGGGGAACCATTGCATCAAGTAAAATTAAAACAGCATTTATATCTGTTGACTTATATAGTCCAGTGCTATATTGGTTTGACCTGAGCTAATTCAGCTCGCAAGCGTGAAGACTCGGGTTGGATTCCCGGGTGGGACAAAACATTGGGCAAATTTCTTTGCTCCACACACATACCTCTGCCTTCCTATCAGTTGTAGGAACACGGTTGGCATTCCATCAGCGTAACGCTTTTCCAGGAGTAACAATTCCTTAAAAATTATAACAACAGTTTGGTAGCTCAATCGTTTACTCTTTGTGTGCAATAGACTGCCACGTTTCAACTGTCACAATCACAATATCGTTGCTATACATAATATAATATAACATAATTGTTATTTTGCCTCTGTCTTTCTCGCAGACGCAGGAACACGGTTGGTAGTCTCTTCGCTGATCGCTTTTCCAGAATTAATAATCCCTTAAAAAAATAACAGCAAGTTGGTCACTGAAAATATGAATACTCGTGTGCAGCAGACGACCCGCTTCGCCCCAGTAATCTCTGTACATCATAATGCTGCACATTAAATTCTGCGAAAAGCTTTCTGTCGTCCCAATGGCACTATACGGCGCTTTATCAAAGGCAATCATTACTGTAATCATCATTGTTAATTTGGGTTAAGTGTAACAATTATAGTGAGGTGTTTAACCACTGGGTGTCGCTGATATTTTGTGGAGACACCACAGGCTGAAAAGGTTGTGATGAGTGGTTCAACAACGCATTATCGTGCAATTCAATCGTACTCAGAAGCTTGTCAACCTCGTCCGTTTCCTTGGTTTATACTTTCCATTCAGAAGGACAGATGTACACGAAATATAGAGAGTCGGTATCACAGTTTTTTACAACGTGTAGGATATCAGTCCGCACAATGTAAGCGAGCATCAGGAATCTCTGACTGTTCTTCTCCCACGATTAATGGAAAACATCTTCCTTATATCCTAATCTATCTTAGATTTGGTTTCTACGGAACCCTAGGAACCTATTGATCTCATTCGCTTAATCACAAAGGTCCTGATACACTATTCTTGCAATTCGCCAAGCTATCAAGATCTGGGCTCATTCCTCAGGACATCTGGACGTATAGCTCAGTGGTTAGAGCACTCGCCTCGCAAGGAGACATATGTTCGACTCTTATTCGGGCAAAATTTTTTGGCACTTATCCTTACTCCACACGGTTTGGCTTAACATTGCAGTAAATAGTAACCCGGTTGCTACTCAGATGGCTGATAGATTTCAGTGGTAACATTTCCCCAAAAAGGGCTAAATAAGTCATTCAACCACAAATATTTGTGTGCGACGTATGTGCGTAATGATCTGCCGCACTGTCCCACAACTTATGCCGTCAATTGACTTTGCAGTATACTGCATGTAGCGCTTTGAGACGTCTCAATGACGTGATAAGGCGTTGTATGAAAAGCAAGCAAGGGATATTGTTATTTTTACTTTTATCTGCTTCAGTCTTTGTAACTCGCTTCCTCTTCACTGTCTCTTTCACACATTGCTGTGGTTTGCCTCTGCGAGGCGGAGGGAATCTGAACTTAAAAGATAGGAGGAGTCGCAATACATCTCCAGCAATGAACAGAGACAGAGTAATGACGCGGGGATAAGAGTCAACGTCTCAAGTGAACCAACGTTTATCCATCAGACGCTGACTTTAGATGATTTCTGGTTGCAATTCATCCGGATACATTGACGTGAATCGAAGAGAGTTGAGAATGAAGCAGATTTTCAGCGCAACGTATATTATTTTGAATTTAACAATAAAGCTTTGTGTAAGTAGTGCATGAATTTGGATCAACAAATTCTTTTTTACCTGCTAAATAATTACAGTTTATCGCGCCAGACACTATCCTAATTCCTTTGCGAGTATGTTCATTTATATTATCTTTCCAGGTGTATTGGCTGAAAGTGACGTTTCACAGTCACCTCAGGCCGTGACAGGGAATGAAAATGGAAACGTATCTATGGAGTGCAACACCACTGTGTCCGGCCCAACCTTTCATTGGTACACACAGTATGGAAACGGTTCCATCCGGTTCTTGGTTTTGGGAACAAAAGACATCAATATGAAGGACAGGATAAGCGCTTTGGCTAATACAAGACAGAGAAACTGCACTCTAACAATCCAAGACCTGCGAGTGTCAGACACCGCCACTTACTTCTGTGCGGAAGGCACAGTGTTGTTTGTCTAAGAGGGACCTGTGCAAAAACATGTTGGTTTTACTGCAGCTCAATGGTTAGAGAACTCGCTTCACAAGCGAAATAATTGGGTTCAATATCGGGCAGTGCAAAATGTTGGCCAAGTTTCGTTAATCCACATGCGTCTGTATATCCAGCGATAAGTCGGAATGTGGTTGTTAGTTGGTTGACGGATCGCTTTTCCGATGGTGATAATTCCTATAAATAGAGAAAAATTCAATCCACAACTGTTTGTGGGACACTGCTGCGCGCAAACGACTGCGACATTACGGCCATAACATAAACAGTCAATTTACTTCACCGTACAACCTACCAAATGCTATGTGTCGTCGAATAGGTGATGAAGCGCTGTATTAAATGCAAAGTTTATTTTTATTTTTATTGGTTTCATAGACGGAAATAGGAACACGTTTGATAGCAGTTTGGATGATACTTTTTACGGGTGTAATAATCCATCAACAAAATGGATCACTCGATCGAAGACTGTTTGAGAGACGCTGCACTATGCACTTGGCTGCCGGGTGTTGTCCACAAAATACACTCTCGATGCACTTTACACGGTACCCTCTGAAGACCGTACAGTCGACTCGGACAAGTGATAAATCGTTATGTTAATTACAAGCGCTTTTATCATAACCCAAAGGTGGGTTGAGATAATCATATGCATGGAAATGGTTTCCACATATGTCAGACACCAGTTTAAGAAAACTATATGATTATGTATGAAGGATCATTCCGCGAAATAAATCGTACAACACAGTAACTGGCAGAAAGTTTCCAGCCGTCTGCCCACACTCGGGGGCTTCCACTTAATACAACATCCGATCTCGTTTTAACCGTCTATATCACAATAATTCTTGACATTTGATACAGCGCTTCGTCTCGTCTCCGCGATGCCTCACAGCACTGCAGGGAATGCAGTATAATGTGTCGTGACTGTGAATTTTATGGGCGAAACTCGGGAAACAATTTCACACAACAGTCGCGGTTTCAGGGATAAAGTTTTGAGAGGTTGTTAACAGGACTTGTTTTTCAAATGTGCTCACCACATCCAGCACTGCTTGTGAGAAAACTTGCCTGCACATGGGCTGCCGCGTTTAATCCACATAACAAACAGTCACTACTGTTTAATGCACAAACTGAGAAGCGCTATGAGAGTTCACAGTAATGTGATCACGAACTATATCAAATGCATTGATTACTGTCACCTTAGAAGAAGAGATGTGAAAATCTGCTGTTTGTGAAAGGCGGGGGTTGGGGACTGGGGGGAAGGGCGAGGAGGGATTGTCCTGCCATCGGATAGTTGGCATAACAAGCGTGGACCTGAGTAATAAAAGACAATTAATAAGTACATGATCAGAGTGTCGCCCAACAGAGATTTACCTGCCCCGAGTCTTGTTTCAACAACAACAACAACAACAGGATTCCATTTATAAAGCGCCTTTCACGTCAGGAGGACATCCCAAGGCGCTGCACAGTTGGGTCATGATCCGAGCATTGGGGGGGAAATGGTCAGGGTGAGGGGAGGGAAGGGTGGGAGCGAGGAGGTGGGAAATGGTCAGGGTGAGGGGAGGGAAGGGAGGAGCGAGGAGGGGGGAAATGGTCAGGGTGAGGGGAGGGGAGGGGGGGGGGTGAGGAGGGGGGAGAGAGTCGAGAGGGGAGATGAAGGCTCGGTCAAAGAGAAGAAGAGGTCAAAGTTTCGTGGCCAGTCTCCGCCTCGTGACATGAAAAGTTAACTGATGAGGATGAGTCCTTCAAGGGAACACAAAAGTGGAACTCATGTACAGGCATTGGAGGAGTTTAAGGAGGGAGTAACTTGCTCCATGTGTCAGACACCCGGTTCTACAGAGACATGTCAGTGATGGAAGAGAACCAATGGAGGAGCGAGATGGCAGCGCAGAGAAGACGAAGAGCAACGAGAGAGACACAAGTTTAGTACGTAAACCTCAGACCGGCTCATTCACGGCATATGGCAACTTCTGTGTATGATTTCTTATTCAGCTCATCACTGTATCGTACTTCCTCTCAGCCAACATTCTCCAACTACGCCATCAACGCTCTCTCAACACCCGTTGCCATTAAATACATATGACAATGTATATCTATGTGGCAGCCGCCATCATTGTCTTGTCAGGTAAGCCATCAACTCAATAATCTGTATCCCGCAGATATTGTCCAATGCCTATTTTATTGCATTAGATAAGCAAAACGCGACAGAAATTGTGGAGTTATAGAGTGCTGTTGCTCAGTTGATATAGCACTCGAAGCGCAAGAGAGAGGACCTGGGTTTGATTCCTGGGCAGGGAGAAACCTCAGGTGAATTTGGTTACTACGAGCACATGACTCTGTTTGAATAACTGTAGGAATCCGTTGTAAGTGAATTTGCGAATGGATTTTCATGGTAGGAAAATCCCTACGATTTTGTTCACGATTCATTCAATCAAACCACGACTGTTTGTGGGCTGCTGCATAACTGGGAGCTGCATTGGCCAAGAAATACAGTTAAAGTGTTTTCTGTGAAGTACTTTGTAATGTTTCGAAGACACGATCAGTCGTTGTATCAATAGATAATATTATTATTAATGCTGTTACTGTGTTGAACGCTGATTTTTGTCTTGTTCCCAGGACACTGTGGAGGAGTCTCTGTGACACAGCTCCAATCTACTGTGACAGTGAATGAAGGAGAGGCTGTTTATCTGCAGTGTAACTACACAGCTACAAGCGCCGGCGATCCATATCTGTTCTGGTACCGTCATTATGCCAATAAAGCTCCAGAATATATCCTTAATACCTACATCAGGAATAACAAGCAGCAACGTTCAGACTTTGCAAAAGAAGGTTTCTCAACGAACGTGTCCAACGAGGAGAGAGCCGCTCACTTGAATATATTCCAAGTGAGAGTTACAGACTCCGCGGTGTATTACTGTGCACTGAGCCCCACAGAGGCACAGATCAGCGATTTCGCCCTACAAAAACTGTCAGGTGGAGTCCTGGAGCTCAGTGGTTAGAGGCTTCGCCTTGCATTGCGCACGTTTCCTTTTCCACGAACAACTCTGTTAACGAGCAGTAAAAGAAGGAACCGGTTGTTATTCGATTGGCGAATCGATTTTCCAGGGGTAATAATTCCTTCAAAACAATAACAATAATACTGAGATATTCACTGAATCCAGTGGGACACTGATGTGAGCAATTGACTGCCGCGTTTCTCCCACACAATATGCAGTCAACTAGTGTACAGTCTATTCTGTGAAGCGAGTTGAAGTGTCTCGAATACGAGATATGGCGCTATGCCAAGTGAATTACTGCAATGAATTTTATTATTATTATTAAATATAATAATGCTGCATTCACATAAATAACTTCAAACGTCTTGCTTCGTTGGGAGTCTCGCAACGAGTGCATGCCCATCTGTGCTGTTTAAATAAGTAGAGGTACATCCAAAACAACAACTTTCTTTTATACAGCAACATTCGCAAAGGGAAAGATAAGATGAGCCGTGAACTATTTGCTGTCAAATGCCTCCAACTGTACACGTGCTTTAGTTGCAATCCACCAGCAGATGGCGAACCAAAACATATATAACCTGAGCTGTAACTCAGATAACTTGTCAGGTTCCTTTCTGTAACTGATTGACTTGTCAGCAATAACAGGTGCTTCCTGTTACAGGTGACATACTTCCATCTTATACACTGTTACTGGATCAACCGTAATTTACAATGATTTGCCTACGGCGTGGCCTTAGGTTACTCAAGAAGCAATTTAAATTGCTGATTCTATGTTTTATTGTCTTTCTCCCAAGTAAGCAGCCGCACTTAATAATTCTCATTTGGGGAACAAATGTGCTTCATTTTGTTAGCAGCAATATGTTCGCTTGTTTTGGTTTCAATGCAGAAGAAGATTAAAGCTGACTTTGTTCAATATGGTTTAGGTATCTGAGTTTGCAGATTCCTTATTTTGTTGCAATGATAAGAAGGTTTGGCCATCGATAACAATAATAATAACAGCAATAATCCTTGCCTTTGATACAGCTCTTTTCACGTTGGAGGCGGTTCCAAGACTTTAAATGGCATTTCTGTAAGAAGCAGTGACTGCACATTGTGAGCCAAAATACGAAGCAATATTCAAACATTAATTTTCCCACGAATATTCATAACGTCAATGATCGGTTTTATCTGAGTTTTGAGGACAACGCATTCCACACACAGTCCTGTGTTTGACTTTCAGTCGAGACTGTGAGCTCAAAGTGCCGACTTGTCTCCTGAACCAACAGCATTCTGACTCAGAATAGAAACTACAATCAACAGAGTAAGGTGGTCACCTTAGCCTTGATGGTAGAAATTAAAGCATTAATCACTTAGGTTAGGCTGCATTCTTCAAAATCTGCCAAACTAAAGCAATCACAGCAATGATAATAGACCTTCCACTTTACGCAGCGACTGTTACTATTCGAGACGTCTCAAATAGCATCACAGAATATAACGTAAAGTACACTCTTTGTGGGTGAAAGGCGAGTCGTTGCTCCCATCCAACTCCAGGCCCATTGGCTCCCAATCGCCAGAAGATCAAATTTAAGATCCTCTGGTGAGTGGGAAACGCCTACAATTGGAGGTAATAAACCACTGAACACGTCAGATCAGCCGCTTCCTCACAACTTTTCAGTGAAGCAGCAACACAGCGATATACAAAGGAAGAGATTCCATTATCTGTCCACACCTCAGCAGCCAACATGACAGCTCACTGCCAGTTACTGATAGCAATCCTCACCATAGCCAGTAAGTATGTGTGGACATATCCAGAGCATGGCCTTTACATTATATTATATCAGAAGCTTAGTGTTGAGAGCACTCACCTCTCAAGCGACAGGACCTGTGTTCGATTCCCGGGCAACGTGAAACTTCCAGCAAATTTGCTTACACCTCAAGCCTGTGATTACCGGCAGTAAGTAGGAACCCGTTTGATAATTGTTTCAGGGATAGCTATCCGAGAGTAATAATATATTAAACAATAAATCAATCAATAGTAATTTCGTCAATCAATCCATTACGGTTTGGGCGACACTGCAGTGCTTAATTAGCTGCAACGTTTCTCCCTCAAAATATGGAGTCAATTCTCATAATAATGTATTCTGTGTGCGCTTTGAGACGTCCAAACCGTGCGATAACGTGATATAGAAAATGAAATTATTATTATGATAATGATGATTGCAAATCTCCACTGAACGTTGCTCAGCAAAATGTGTTTTTTTGTTCTTGCAGAAGTCTACGGTCAAGATGTAGTATCCCAATATCCTCCCGAGATAACAGATTTTGAAGGGCACAACGTTACGCTGAACTGCAGTTATTCCACAATAAACGCTGCCTTCTGGTACAGGCAATATCCTGATGGAGCTCTTCAGTACTTGTTCAGGATATATGTGTCGGGAAAGGCAGACAATCCTCCTGACCGTTTCACTGCCGAGCTGATCAAGGAGAATAAAGTAATTAACCTGCAGATACTTAGTGCTGTTGTGGGTGACAGCGCTGTGTATTACTGTGCCCTGAACCCCACACTGTTACAGGAAGGCAGATTCACTGTACAAAAACTCAGCAGAGAATCATGGCCTCGTCTCACACATTTAAGTTCGTGGTTTGAACAGACTGATGTGCTTCCACAATTATAATCGGGAATGTGGTGTACAGAGTCTGTGGAGTCCTGTATTGCTGTGGTTATAGCACTCGCCTCAAAACAGAGTGGACCTCGGTTCGATTCCCCGGCAGGTGAGTGCGGAAACTTAGGCAAGTTTCCTTACTCCACCCACTCGCCACGGAGTACCGAGCAATAAGTAGGAATACAGCTGTTAGTCGATTGGGGATAGTTTTTTTTTCTAGAGAATATTCCCTTCGTAAAGGAATAATTATAATTTAGTCAATTTACAACAGTTTGTGGGACATTGCTGTGCGCAATTGGCTGCCGCGTTCGCCCACAAATATACAATCAATTCACTTTACAGTGTGTTCTGTGAAGCGCTTTGGGACGTCCTCCCGACGTGAAAAGCGCTATATCAAATGCAAGGATTATTATTATTATTATTATTATTATTATTTGCTGTTCGCTGCTGTGTAGAATTGGCTGCCGCGTTTCGCAAACAAAATAAAGCGTAAATTGCCTATCAGATATATTCAGCAACATGCTTTGAGACTTCTCGAAGACGTGATAAGGCGCTGGAAATTAACCCAGTGTTAGCTTGCTAACCTCCAGGAGTTACCTTAAACCACACTCAGATGATCTTAAATTTTGCCTCTTGCAAAACTTCAATTAATTTATACACTTTACTGTAGATACTGTGAAGGGCTTTCAGATGTCTTGAAGATGTGTTGAGGCGCTATAACAAATGCAAGTATTATCATTATTGTTAAAACTTTCAGCAACTCAGCAAGCACAAATGGTTATTTCAGAGAGACAGAGCGAGACTGAGAGAGAGTGAGAGAGCGCGAGTGAGTGATAGATAAGAGCGAGAGAGATGAGAAAGAGAGAGTGAGAGAGAGAGATAGAGAGAGAGAGAGGAGAGAGGAGAGAGGGGGGAGAGAGGAGAGAGAGAGAGGGAGAGAGGGGGGGAGAGAGAGAAAGTGAGAGAGAGAGAGAGAGAGAGAGAGAGATAGCGATGAGAAAGAGAGAGCGAGAGAGAAAAAGAAAGAGAGCGTGAGTGTGTGTGAGAGCGAGAGATAGAGAGAAAAAGAGAGAGGGAGAGTGAGTGAGAGAGAGACAGAGATAGAGAGAGAGTGAGAGTGATAGAGAGAGAGAGAGAAAGAGAGAGAGAGAGATGAGAGAGAGAAGGATTTCGTTTGCAATATACGGAATACTCAATGTGCAGCTTGGAAGCACGGCACTGAATAATAAAAGGAAAACATAAAAAGTAGACTGTTTAAAAATATTGCTACTCTAACCATCACAATTTGTGTCCCACTGCTATGTGCAATTCGTCGCTTCGTTTTCCCCAAATAAAACGCTGTCACTACACTTGTTAGAATAACCTGTCTAGCCCTTTAAAACGTCTCGTAGACATGATTAGGCGATATATCACAATATCATTATTGTGTCTCCCAGTTTGATTTGAATCATCATAAGCATGGTCATGGGTTTCCACATATTTCAGATACCAGGTTTGTGGAGTCCTGTAGCTCAGTGGTTAGAGCACTCGCTTTGCGAGCGAGAGACCTGAGTTCAATTTCAGGCAGAGGGCGAAACCTCGGGCAAGTTTCCTTACTCCACACAGAGCCTAATAATAATCCTCCAAAACCAAAACCAATAATAAATTGGTCATTTTCAATCTACGACTGTTTGTGTGACACTGCTGTGCGCAATTGGCTGCCGCGTTCGCCCACAAATATACAGTCAATTCACTTTACAGTGTGTTCTGTGAAGCGCTTTGGGACGTCCTCCCGACGTGAAAAGCGCTATATCAAATGCAAGGATTATTATTATTATTATAACAACAATAAACGTTAATATATGAAGGTTATTCAGCGAAATAATCAGCAGAGCAAAATAACTTGTAGTAATGAATTATGCCAGAAGTTATAATGTTTTGCACTCAAACTCCTCAAACCCAAATGCATAGAGGCCAGAAGGACACTTTCAACTGACTGGGGCAGAGACATCTGAGAAACTGCTGACGTCACGTGCCTCTTCCCATTTCGCTTCGAACCCTTTTAAGCTCATTACCAAATTGACACCTGTCCCCGGCGATGTGAAGCCAACACACATTAGGACATTGCCCAGCCGTCTGTGCACACTCATGCGCTTCCACTTAATATCTCCTCCTGCCTACATTTGACGATTTATTATAAGAATTTTTGCATTTTGAACAGCCCCTTATCTCGCCTCTGAGACATCTTAAACTCTTAGCAGAATATACTCTAATGTGTGGGGATTGTGGATTTCAAGTACGAAAGGGGTTATTACCCCCAACAAGGAATTCGACAATCGACTGACAACAAATTTCCGAGTTGATGCTTGGTGCACCGTTGTG